ATGCCCTTTTCATGTTGTCTCTCGTCTCCCTGCTCCCCCTTTCCCGCCCTCTCTACATTCCTATCCATCCCCGCATGTTCTGCCTCCCGTGTCCCTGCTTTCATTCCACTTCCCCTTTCCCTTTGTCACATCACCCCTAATCCCGATTCCTTTTTCTCATCCACTCTGTTGCTTCCTTCTTCTTATCTCCCTTCCTTTCCCCATTCCATATCTTCCTCACCCTGTGCCTCAACTTTCGTTACTTCCCTCCCCTTCTCCCTCTCTGTCTATCTCCTTGGCTTCCCCTTCTCCCCTCCCTATACCCGTCTCCCTTCCTTCCCCTCCTGTCACCTTATTTGCCTCCCCCTTCTCCCTCTTCCCACTCTGTCACCGTACTATCCTACACGCCCCACCTCCCTCCCCTTTTCTATGTCTCCCTTACCCTGTGCCCCCCCTCCCCCCTTTCTCCCAATCCCCGGAACACCGAGCCGGCCGTGAATGGTCGCGTCTCCGCCAACAATACATCGCCATTTGGGAGATCAGGTGTTTCGTCTGTTACCATTCATGTTCCCTGTGCAGTTTTCCCCCATTAATCTTCATAATGTTTAGTATGTTGGGAGTGCGCGGATGTGAGTCCAGGCTGAGGGACGTCTCCCCCTCCCCCCATGCGAAAGGGGGGGGGAGGCTTTAAGCGCGGGAGGGAGGGGGCGGAAGGAGGAGAATGAAGGAAAGAAAAGGAAAGCGAGGGAGAGAAAGGGAGTGAGAAGAAAAGAGATGAAGCGAGAAGGAGAAAGAGGAAACGAGGAGAGACGGAACCAGAAGGAGACAGGGAGCGAGAGGAGGAGAGATTGGAGGAGGAAAGGAAGAAATGAAGAAGGGAGAATAAAAAGAGAGAGTGTATGGGGAAGCGAGAAGGAGAGAGAGAGTGGTAGAAAGGAAAATAGAAAGACTGTGAGAGAGAAAGAGAGAAAAAAATACGAAGAAGAAAGAATGACGAGTGATACCATATAGACGACCAAACTACAGCAGCGGCAGGGGATTCCCGACCACAAAGGCATTAGCGATCGGGCGTCGCCTTTGTGGTGGCGTTCTTCAAATAGATTCCACACGACACGCGGTTTTCACTCGGATTGCGGGAGTGATGTGCCATGCGCGGGTGCGAGCTTGACGGCGAGGCGAGGGAGAACCCGTAAGGAGGAGGGGGAGATGGTGTGGTGGGGCGGTGAGAGTGGTGGCGAGGTGGAGTGACGACGAGGCGGAATAGAGGTGAATGGCGGCGAAGTGGAGTGGTGGCGAGGTGGCGTGGACGTGAATGGCGGCGAGGTGGAGTAGGGGCGGGTGGAGTGGTGGCGAGGCGGAATGGAGGTGAATGGTGGCGAGGAGGAGGTGGAGGTGGAGTGAAAGTCAATGCTAGGGGAGTGAGAGAGGGGTCAGATGGAGATAAGGAAGGGGCTGGAGAGTGGCTTATTATTAGCGATTCAATAATCACATAATGAAAGGACAAAAGAATTAAAGGCTTAAACTTTTTAAAAGCTCAACTGCCGCCGACGAGTGACAGCGCGCGGGGGCAGGACACGCACCACAAACCCACTGCAGTAGACTACCCGAGGCCCCGCCCGCTCGCCACAGGGAGGCTGACGTCCGGCACCAGCAGGAACCTTTCGTGCCCTGAGCTGCGTGCGAAGGCGGGAGAAGTGGGTGGAGGAAGGAGAAAGTGGGTAGAGATGGGCTGATCGGGGGGAAGTGTGTAGAGGAGGAGGAAAGTGGGTAGAGTGGGGGAAGTGGGTGGAAGTGGGTAGAGATGGGCTGAGAGGGGAGTGGATGGAAGTGGATAGAGGGGGGCAAAGTGGGTAGAGGAGGGGGAAAGTAGGTGGGAGCGGGTAGATGTGAATCAAAATTGGGAGCGGGGGAGAGTAAGTGGAGGAGGGAAGTGGTTGGAGATGGGTGGCGCTGCCTAGAAGTGAGTAGAATGGGGTGGCAGGGTAGGACGAGTGGAGGTGGGTTGGGGAGATGTATGGAGGCGGGGAGAAGCATGCGGTGCGAGGTAGGTATAGATGTTGAAGTAGAGGAAATGGGGGGGGGGGGGAGCGCTACAGGTGGGGAGAGGGAGGGGAAGGTGGGGGTAGGAAGGCATTGGGAGCTTGTTTGTTTGGGATTCTGCAGATCACGACTGAAGTTGAAGTTGTATTGGTGTGAAGTTTAGAGAAGTTCCTGGCATGATGATGGAACAGCGGCGATGGAAGCAGAGATGAGACGAACAATGAATGAATAACATGTCCTTTAGAATGGAGTCACATCAATCAACTCTAAATTAGAATAAAAAGTTTTATAATACCATACCCTTTATATCTAATTTCGTATCTTGATGTATTACGTCTTGGTACAACTGCGTTCCTATTAATCCCAGTGTGAAAATATGAAATCATGACTGTGCTTTTTGTATTACGAAAACTTTTCCTTACATTATTAATCCGTCACTACACACACACACACACACACACACACACACACACACACACACACACACACACACAATTCACAAAGAAACACAAGCAAAACACAAACATACTTACAAAAACGAAATTAGCGTTGCATGTGTTTGTATGTGTGTGTGTGAAGGGGGGGGGGTGTTGCATTGTTGCAGAATGCAGGTATAACGCAGCAAAGTCTTCGATGCTCGTGCATGCGAGAGAGAGAGAGAGAGAGAGAGAGAAGAGAGGAGAGAGAGAGAGAGAGAGAGAGAGAGAGAGAGAGAGAGAGAGAGAGAGAGAGAGAGAGAGAGAGAGAGAGACCGACACAAGCACATGGACAGAGACAATGGAAAAAATCAGAGAAAAGGAAAGTAAAACGAAAAGAGAAAATGCAAAAGACTGATGAATAAAGAAAACGACAGACAGACAGACGGACCGTCGTCATGACAACATACATTACGAAAGACGAATAAAAACACGATGAAATATTTCTCGTTTCATTTCTCAAAGAAAAATTCTTTTATTGCAGATCAACGAAATGCATGTCAAAATACTCTTTTATCAGTGCTTGCAATATTTTTGTTGCTGTTGCTACTAATGTTATTCAATGTTGTTATCATTCTTGTTATAATCACTGTTGTTATCAAGATAGCTATGGTTATGATCACTAGTTCCTACTTGAAAAAAAAATTGTTGTTGTAGTGACAATACTATTATAATAATCCCCCATTATCTTTGTTATCAACATTATCGCTGAAACATTAATCCGAGTCACATATTTCCGTCGGCGTTTTCAATATCATAATCCTAATCAAATACTCTTCTAATCTAATCAGATCTAATCACATTAACATATTCCGACTGAGAGCAAGACACTCAGTTCCCATTCCGCTCCAGATTCAATTCACCTCCCATCAATAAAAAGAAGGAATCGATAATCGTTTCGTATACTCTTTGTTAAGAAAAAAAATATATAGCCATGTCCAAACATTTTTTTCCGAAGACACACAATCCTAAAAGCTTTGTACTATTTATTTCTTTTTTTCGTGAATTCCAAAGAACTTTAAAAAAAAAAAACAATTCTCCCAAAAGATCTACTCATTTTCTTCTCCCTCTACTCTTTAAATCTCAAAATGCAACGACGAAACTCAAGACCGAAATCATAACGATCAAATTCCATGATTCAACACAAGGTGACAATCCTGTCCGTAAAGCTGTTTAAAAAACCGAACGAAAACGATTCTTTATCACCTTTTTACCCTCTCGTGTATTAAAAGGATTCCAACTTGTCATTTGTGAAAGGGTCCATTTTTAATGAGGAATGAAATTACAAGTAAAGAAAAGAAAAATTTATTAAAAAGGATTGTTTGATTCCCTGATGTCGATCTAAAATCAGGTTATGAGTTCAATTGTAAGTATTGGTGTCATATCTGCTCGAATTCATTTAATTATTTGATTTTTTTTCAGGACGGTCACAAACACAGCAGATTTGTACATGATGGAGAGTAAAAATAGGGAGAAAGGAAGGAAGGAAGGAAGGAGAGAGAGAGAGAGAGAGAGAGAGAGAGAGAGAGAGAGAGAGAGAGAGAGAGAGAGAGAGAGAGAGAGAGAGAGAGAGAGAGAGAGAGAGAGAGAGAGAGAGAGAAGAGAGAGAGAGAGAGAGAGAGAGAGAGAGAGAGAGAGAGAGAGAGAGAGAGAGAGAGAGAGAGAGAGAGAGAGAGAGAGAGAGAGAGAGAGAGAGAGAGAGAGAGAAGAAGAGGGAGAGAGACAGAGAGAGAGAGAGAGAGAGAGAGAGAGAGAGAGAGAGAGAGAAGAGAGAGAGAGAGAGAGAGAGAGAGACGAGAGAGAGGTTGAAGAGAAGGTTGAATGGAGGGAGGGAAGTGAGGAAGAAGGGTGGAGTGAAGGCGGGAGGTGGGTGGGAGGGAGAAAGAGGGAGAGAGAAAGAGAAAAAGTGTGAAAAATAGCGAGCGAGTGAGAAAGAAGAGAATAAGAAAAAAAACTGAAAAGCAATAAAAGCCAAAACGCCAGAAAATATAAAATTCCTCCTTGTGATTATCCCCCCTCCCCTCCCCACCCCCACGGAGCTCACCCACAGCCCTTTGATAGGCCCTGCCCGTCCCCCCTCCCCCACCCCCGTGTCCTCGGGGACCTACGGGTGGCGCCGAATTTTAAAGAATGTATAATATTTGTCTCTTAATATGCAAATGCAATCAATAGGCCAATAATTAATGGAAAAATAATTATCCTAACTTTGCCGAATTAGCGTGGCCGGAGGTACCTCTTGGGATGCCAGATATTGGAAGCCAAGCTGGCCGAAGGGGTTTTCGTACGGAGAGGAGACGAAGAGGAAGAAGAGGGAGAAGGAGGAGGAGTGGGATGAGGAGGAGGATGTTAAGAGTAGAAGAAGAAGAAAGAGAAGGAGAAACGGAAGAAGAAGGAGGAGGAGGAGAAGGAAGAGGACTTAAAGAGTAGAAGAAGAAGAAGACGAACAATAATAACAAAGAGAAAAAGAAAGACCAGTAGAAGGAGAAAGAGAAAGAAAAGAAGTAGGAGAAACAGAAAAAGAAGATGAAGAAAAAGAAGGAGGAAGAGAAGGAGAAGAAGGAAGAAGAGGAAGAGGATCAGGAGGAGATGATAAATAAGGATGACTGAGATACTCCAAAAAATGCAAAGGGGAAAAAAGAAGAAAGGAGGGGTAGTAATAAGGCAAAGCAGGATTTAGAGCGGAAAAAAAGACAAAGAGAAAGGGTCAAAAAAGGGGGGGAGAGAAAACACGAAAAAAACGGAGGACAAGAAGAAAAAAAAAGGGGGAAGAAGGACGTCCCAGAAGAATAAGACGGAAACTTCTGAAAAAATAAAACAAAGATCTCTTGGGGCAGAGAGAGAGGGAAAAAATGGGAACGTTTCTTTTTTTCCCGACCTAAGGCATTTCCGACCTCCTTGCAGTGACTCTACAGTGATCTATCGCCATTTAGTCTTTAATTACCCGCGTTCTGTAGGAGATTAATATCTCCAGAGGAAAGCAAAGGAGCATTTCTAATACTTTACTGATCACGACACTTTATATAGACGTAGGTGCGCGATCGAGCGATCGAGCGAGCGTGTGTGTGTGTGTGTGTGTGTGTGTGTGTGTGTGTGTGTGTGTGTGTGTGTGTGTGTGTGTGTGTGTGTGTGTGTGTGTGTGTGTGTGTGTGTGTGTGTGTGTGTGTGTGTGTGTGGGTGTGTGTGTGTATGTGTATGTATGTATGTATGTATGTATGTATGTATGTATGTATGTATGTATGTATGTATGTATGTATGTATGTATGTATGTATGTATGCATGGATGCATGTATGTATGTATGTATGTATGTATGTATGTATGTATGTATGTATGTATGTTTGTATGTATGTAAGTAGACAGATAGGTATAGATTTAGACAGATGAACATATGAAAAGAAGCACTATAAGACTAGAAAGGAGATAAAGAGAAGAAAGAAGGGAAAAAGGGGGAGTAAGGAAAGTAATAATAAAGGAAAAGAAGGATAGAAGAAATAAAGAGAAAAAAAGTAAAATACTAGGCGATAACAGCGAAAAAGAAAAGATAAAAAAAAGAAAGGGAAGAGAAAACTGAAAAAATAGAGCGAAAGAAATCAGAAAAAAACTTACGAAGTGCAGGAACCGGACATTTACATACGCTGTACACTGTACCAGTTCGCTCATCGTCTCTATTTGCATATTCTCTCCATCGCCGCAACCAATTATATATGCAGCTGTTTTGCACGCGAGAGAAATAAGCCGATGACACCGTTTTTTATTCATTTTTAATTTCCATTGACACAAGAGGACAACGTCATTAACAGCTGATACTTTCCTCGTCATTGTTTTTTGTTGTTGTTTGCGTTGTTTGTTGGATCTATATGGTGAGCACTATTTTCATAGAGGTCGTCCTTATTTGATATATAGTTTTGATTAGTCAGTTAAGCTTTATTTAAAGGTATCAAAGTCATCGGTTGCACAGTTACAAAACCCGGCCTGGAGATGTTTATATAGATAGCTACACAACTTCAACCACCTTGCAACCTCGCAACCTCGCAACCTCGCACACGAGCCATGTGCAAAGCCTTTTTGGCCGCGGTTCCCCGCAGGGAGAGAGTAACTGTCATACGGTTTTTTCCATGCAGTTGATTCATTGCCGCATTGCATAAATGGCTGTATCCATTTGTCAACAGAAAATGAAACTTTAACCCGTTTTTTCACAGAGCTCTCGTTGTATTATTTTTGCAAACACTCATCATTAACTGCATGTCCTCCCGATGACAAAACGTCGTGCTTTGGCATGAAGATAAAACTGAAAGTCACTCGCTAATTCTCGCACAGGTAAGGGAAGGGGCGCAAGTGACTCCTCCTGTCTGCAACACGGGAGGAAAAGAGCTTTGTCATTCTACGCAACAGGATACAAATTTTCGTTCAAAAAATAAATAAATACTATTTGCCTCGGGTGTTCACATCGGAACAATTATGCAGTATGTGTGTGCAATTTATCCACAAAGGGCTATAGCCCCAAAACTATAGTATGTCCACTGTATCAAAACCGGGAATACCATTTCGTCCAGTTATCCACAACAGAATCTTACGGACCGAAGCCATATCATGGAATTCAAAATAGAGACCTGTACTTAGTCGCGGTACAAAACAGTAATTTGTTGTTGTACTGGCGCTACTGGGTCCGGTCTGACAATCACTAATACTGTGTAATCCGAGCAAGTACCCAGGGTTTCAGACTCGTGGTCGATCCTGCCGTTTCGAACCTGGCGAGATGAACCAAATTTCACCCAAACAATAGTTTATATCAGCTTGTACAGTGTACTGTTTTGGTAAATGAAGCCAATGTAAAGTTACCGTGTGTTTTATGTAGAACGGATGTATGTAAACTTCCAATGTCTCTTTGTGTAACTTTGGTACTTGCAGACCAATTTTTTTCTGATCTAATTTAGATATTTGTATACTTCCGGTATTTCAATCCTGTCTCTTGGCTCTGGCTTCATAATTTCCCGATATCTATGGACT